TTTAGAGTGTCTTCTGAAGACAGCTTCCATTTTCTCACCTCTAAAATGGAGATGTCTCTTCAAGTGTCAGTTGGCATTGTATAAATTGTCCAAGGGCTGTTGTACACCTGGGATGGAACCTTGAGATGACATTGAACTTTATTTGCCACACGGTTAGCCATTTATTTCCAGAGCTATGATCTCTTGTCTGTGTTATTTCACCATCTTTGCTGCATACTGAGTCTGGCTTTGCCTGGTAATCTTTAGGCTGATAAGCACTTCTCATTTGGGATGGCAACCTTTTCAAAGGTGAGAATTCTCTAAAAAGCGATAACATGTTAGTGTTGCCTCTGAGAGCCAGAGACAAAAGTCCCTATGAGAGGAGCCTGTATGACATATGGCTTTGTGAAGCTAGAGCCAAACAGGAGTCTGGTGACATTGTTGAGTATCTTCCTGTCTCTCTTGCAACCCTGGGGCAGGTTCTCCTCCAGAACCTTAAGATTCATACACCCACCATTTCCCAAGCTTCCTTTAACTTTTAGATCTTTTGGTACTTGCTGGACAAAAGTCTGAGCAGCAAAGCACTACCCTTATTTAGTAGGTGCTTTTTGCTGATCCAGTTGGGAAAGGCAGTGCTGTGGGCTTAATTCTGGACCCTGTGACCTAAGCAAACCTGATCATTTCATCTTTTGTTCCGAGCCCTCCAGGAATTTCCCTTTTGTTCAGAATGAAATACCTTGCCCTGCAAATCCTAACCACCCCCTCTCTAATCTCAGTCATCTCTGCCCCAGTCATTATCTTTTAGCCACATTGGCCTCCTTACTGTTCCTAGAACACATTGAACTGGGGCCTATACCTCAGAGCTGTTACACATGCTGTTCCCTGGAGTACCCTTCCCCAGGGTTCCACATGCTGTTACTCCCTGCTTTATTCTGGTCCCTGCTCAGATACTACTTTCCTACTGAGGCCTTTGCTTATATATTGTTTAGTCAGCATGCTTTTTCAACCATTTTCTCCCTTTTGAAGCTTCCTTAGTACTTCTCATACCTGGCCACAAATAGTCCTTTTTTTTTTTTTTTCCTGACCAACCTTTCCTCCATGAGAATATAAGCTACAGACAATATTGGTACTTTTTCCTTACTATATCTCTGGGTCATCTAGTTCCTGGCACTTAATAAATCTTTCAGTAGCTAGTTGAGGATTGAGTCCCTGAAAGACTCACCTAAGGTCATCCACTGGATGTTTTGTCTATTTGCAGACTCCAGTGTCTCATCCACCATGCTCCCCACCATCCTCAGGGAACACCTGGAAGATGGAGTGTGTTGCTGTTAGGAATACTGTTTCTTTTGCTGTAATAACAGTGGGACCTACTGTCTTGTTGGAATCATGAGCACCTCAACCAGGGGAAGCCTTTCTCCTCCAGAACCTTAAAGTATCTCAGGTTCCCCAGCACACAGAAACAGTCCCTGGAGTAACTCCTTGTGTCCATTAGAGTATCTAAGAAACTTATCTAAATTTAAAATAATTCTTTATCTGCTTTTACCACCAGCACCTCACACTGTGTGTGTCTGGGATCATGCTAAGCTTGTTTAAATTAAAAGCAACACAGTAACCTTATCATGCTGTTTGCCAGGCTATGATCCATGTTATTTGAAATTTTGCTTAAAGTAACTTAGACAGAAACTCCATGTGTTCTCTGGTACCTGCTGATGAGACCAGCATAGCATCTACTTATTTCACATGACTTATCACAGATGCCCCAAACAGATTCAGCAGGCTACAGTGAAGTGAAAAACATGAGATATTCTAAGTTTTCATGACCAGCTCGTGATGCTAACACATAGCTTTTCTAGAATATGAAACTAGTTCTGATTCAAAGTAAATGCCTTTGTAGTTCCAGTAAACACAGTTTCAGTGTGTGACTATTGAAATTTTACAAGAGGAGGCTTATTGTTTTTGCTTAATCATTCCTTTTTTTAATGTGAAGTCTGACTTCTATAATTATGCCATCATTGAAATTATAGGTGAAAATTTCTGACTACTGAGTAGATAGGCAACTAAATAAAGTGTAGATTCTCCTGTGAATAATGTGGATATTAACTAGGTAGATTGGGTTAACATAGGACCCTGTGCTAGACAAGTAATATACCATGTTCACTTTTGGCATGAGATTAAATGACCAGGGTGAATCCTCTTTGGAAGTGTCTTACTTACTTTTTTCATTGCTGATACAAAATACCTGACATCCAAAGTTAAAGGGGAAAAGGTTTATTTGGCTCACCGTTGGTAGAGGTTTCAGTCCATAATTGACCGGCTCCAAGGCAGAATGACACATGACTGACGGTCCTCACAGAGGAGAAACATTCATGATGGGCAGAAGGTAGCAAAGCAGCAAGGGAGAAGACCAGCCTCTTTCTGTCCCTCATATTGTGTCCAGGGCATGGGATTAGGCCACTGCCAAAGCAACCAGTGGGCTGATCCAGGAATCACCCACCCTTAATCCTAGCATTCCACCATGAATCAGCACACACTCTAGGTCCAGCCACCTCTGAAAAGCAGCACCTATAACTGCATGAATCTTTAGGGGGGACATCTAAGTAAAAGCCATAATGGGAGGCTTCACAAATTATTTTTTTTCTGAAATGCTTGAAGCATATCATTATTTTAATTTTTCTGAGAATCCATTGAATATGGATATGAGTAAATTTTGGTCATTCAGAGCAGAGAGCAGGAATCAGGTATCTTTTCGGTTGTGCTCGCATAACCTACCCAGGCACACCAAGCAATGGGCTTTACTGATCTTCTAGGTGTCTCACATGCCTGACAATTAAGACTGTTAATCAGGATTGACATACATTAAATACATACAATGCAACCACTAATTATTTTTTGCTTTTGGCCTATCTTTATATTTGGTCTTTTTAAAAATGGCAATTTAATTTTTTTACCAAAGTGGAAATATCCCACTACATAGGTGAAAGATTCTATCTTGTTGGATATCAGCAGCTATCTTATTTATTTGTTTTTTACCAGGGCAAAAATAAAAAGTTATGAACACTGTAAAAACAATTCAAAATAGAGTGAAATTGTTAATGATTAACTTTTGGGTCTAATATTGCATTGCTGACCAGTGTTTTAAAGCATTATGTTCTTGACTTCAGAGAGAGCCATTATGAACATAAATAGAGAGGTATCTTTATCTCCTGAGATACTTAATTGCCATTTTTCAATTTTGAAACTGATATGTCATGGTCAGAAAAGCCACAAATCAAAAGTTTTAGTTTGATCGGTCACAGTGTTTATATTTGTTATTTAGGTTTGACATTCAGAATTCAATCACAAATGATTCTCTTCACACTGACTGGTTTGTTGAGTGATAAGTAAAGAATACAGAATGGTATTATAACCTGTTACTTTTAGCTCTCCAATGACTTGTCACTCAGATTTCTCTTGTATTGCCTTCTCTGGATACTCAAATATTCCTTTCCTCTCAAGTCTAATAAAGTCCTCTGGACTTGAGAATAGGTAAAGTAGGTGTTGTGCTTGTATCAGCTTAGCCCAGTGGAATGAATGATTCCTCTGCCTTATCTTCCCCTTCAGCAGAGGATGGTTTAGAGGTGCCCACCCAGACAAATTGCTTCTCTCACTGTGTTAATATGAATCCTTAAGCTCTACATCTTCTACTTAGTTTTGCCTCTTCTCCTCTCCCCTCCCTCCCCACCCCTCCCCTCTCCTTTCCTCCCCTCCACTCCCCTCCCTTCTCTCCTTCTCCCCTCCCTCTCTCCTCCTCCTCCCCTTTTTTCTATCTAGATTGAAACTTTAATATCAGCTACCTGCTATTTTTTAACTTTTATGGTTTTTTTGTTTTGTTTTCTGTATAATTCTTTTTCCGTAAGGGCAATTAAAAAGTAAATTGATATTTCAATGGGATTTTAAGAGATTGTAAATGTAAATTAATGTGTTCCATTAGCATCTTTCAGTAGAAGTCCTTTACATTTTCTCCTTAAGTAACTATTTCAAGTTGCAGTCTGTTGCTGATCATTACTGCTGGGTGGAAATGCTTTATTGTCACTGGGCCCTAACCACTGGTGGCTTGGGGACCTGGTGTTTCAACTTGCTCAGCCTTCTTTACTTTCCCTTTCTCCCTGGAGGCCACTCCCTGCCCCTGAGGCTAGGTTTAAATCCTTGTTTTGCCTCTCCTTTTCATCTCTCATAACACACAGGAAATGTAGGCTGCGTACTTGATACTTGTTTTGAAACTGGAGGCTCATTTATATTCTTAAAACACACCACTGGTCCTTTTTCTTACCCACTGGTGGTATTCTTTCCTGTTCTGATTCTTGTGCTTTTCTTGAATTAATCTGGTTTGTTCCCAGTTTTTCTTATTTGCTCTTCTAGATGAAGCAGATACACCTTGTAGTGGAAATAAAAGGGTGTCTGCCTTGCCTGTTTGCTCTCTGACCGTGGATCACTTGCCCTCTAGCCTGGCCTTGTGCTGACCTTGTGTGTTGGTTTAGAGTTTTTCCAGATGCTCTTTGCCATCATTGTAAGGAGGGCTTACAAAGGCTAGTTCTTGGTTCCACATGCAACCTGACCCCACTGCTACTCTATAACAGGCTACAGGCAGGCACTGACTCGTGGCATCACTTTCCTTTTGTTGGAGAAAGAGAAATTTGACCATTATAAAAGATGCGAGTCTAGGTTGCTGCATTGCAGAAGCATTACTTATTTTCCCGAGATGGAGATAAATGCTTAGATTAACCCTGACTCTTTCTGGCAATTCTTACTGTTTTAAAGTGCAGTTTATCATTTCCTATATTGTACTTAATGCTTGAGAATGTTGTCATGTTGAAGCAATTATTACTTATGATTCCCCCCGTCCCCCTTAAGAAGAACCTTCTTCCTGGAGGAACCATGGGGGAAAAATATTTTTTCCTTTAAAAAAGTTTTTAAACTTTTAAAACAGAAAGTTTAGTTTTGATTAGTTTTAAAACTTACCGAGTGTCTTCCTTTTCCTAAAGTTGTGCCGAATCTCTGGAATGTTGATGGAGAAGTCACTGTCCCTGAACAGAAGCCCGGAGAAGTTGCTGAAGAGCTAGCAAGCTCCTATGAAAGGAAGCTCATTGAGGTAAGGACTACTTAGGATTATTGTGTGCCTTTGCTCCTACTTTCACCTGCTGTGGAGATTGGGCCAAGGAGATAACTGAGTGGTGTAGGTGCCTGCCTGGCAAGCACAAGGTCCTGAGTTCCATCCCTGGTACACACACACACACACACACACACACACACACACACACCAGGGTTGTTAGTAAAGAAACCAAACAATTCCATACTCTTCCATATTTAGAACAAAAACAACCAGGATGGATCAGATAAAATCAGTGTAGTGGATAAGAAAAAGTAAAGTTTATTATTTTTATAATATAATTTAATTAGATATATCTGGAATTTATGTTTTGAAAGTGGAAGCTAATTCACATTATACATATCTGTATCTTAGTCTATGTGGGCACTACCTAACAAATAGCACAAAAAGAAGAAAAAAATCTAAAAAAAAAAAAAGAGAATCCCTCCACCTAACTCAGTCACATATTAAAGGAAGAATGCACATTAAAAAGTAGAGTTTAGAGGCGGGAGGTATAGCTCAGTGGCACAGCACCTGCCTAGCAAGCTTGAAGCCATGAGTTCAATTTCCAGTACAAAAAAAAAAAGGGGGGGGGGGAACAAAGTAGATTTTATTTAGGATTTAAAAGATGGTATAATGTGAGGACATTCATCCATGTATGTCATGTCATTATGGATTAAAGGAAAAGAAACATATTATCTTGATAGATAACAGAAAGGTATTTGATAATGTTCATCTTTGCTATCTGGTAAAATATTGTTGACATATAAGAATTCAAGGAACTTTGATATGATAGTGTTTATCAGAAACTATTAATTGTCACCGTACTTAATGGTAAAGCTTGGAGGCTTTTCACTAGTTGTGGGTATATGTTATGATGGTTGCTTGGTGGTAGTGTTATATGTAGCATCTGTGTATATATACATACACAAATCTACAAGTATACTTCCAGTGCTTTCTAGATCTTCTACAGTGAATAAATTTGTATTTTTATGACTAGAAAGATATCACCATTTGTTATAGAGATGCCTAAATTAGACTTGGGCTTCAGAAGTAGGGCATTGGAAAAGTAACCCTGAAGCTCACTTCTGGTTCAGTACACACTCTTCAGAGTGTGTATTGTTTATGTGATAGTGAGCTTTCTGTTTCTACAACAAAATATTTGAGAAAATTACTCTGAAGGAAGAAAAGTTTATTTTAGCTCATCATTTCAGAGGTTACCGTCCATTGTTGGCTGGCTCCTTTGTGGGCCTACAAGGAGGTAATATAGTACATCATGGGGAGAGTGCATGGAAGGGCAACCAAGAGAGATTGCACGGGGCCAGGAATGAGATATAGTCTCTGGGCTGTGCCCTCAAGGTCTGACTTCTACAGACTGGGCTCTACCTGCTACAATTTCTGCTGCCTCCAAATAGTTCCTACAGCCATAAATCCATCAATGGATTAATCCCCTGCTGAGGCTAGAGCTCTCATGATCCAGTCACTTTTGAACACTGCTACATTTCACATAATACCTTCAACATGTGAGTCTTTGAGGAGCATTTCATCTCCCAACTATAACAGTCTGGTTCCTGAATTAACTCTAAGCAAGGGAGATGACACAAGAAGCAATTTGATCTAACACAGGTGAACTCACAAGGAGGCAAGCTTTGGTCTTTGCTAGAGCAAGGTGAAGAAGAGCAAGAACTGGGTTGAGAGTCTGCGGGAGCACGGAAACTGTCCTGTCCCTACATGACCTCTGCTTCCCAATATGTCCAGTGAGGTGAAGAGACTTGTTAGCTAGTGACAGTGTCAGAGTCCCAGGTTGTTGGTTCATGCCCCAGAAGACTAGTTGGAGTGGGAAGGTGGGCCCTTAGCATTGTGACATTCTGTATGTTTTTCTTCCCACTGGATACTCAATCCTTGGAAGGCAGGTGCCTTTACATGTCCATATATTCAGGAGCTATTCATTAGCAAGTGATGAAAAGTAGTCCTTAAATGAATATATTTTTAAGGATAAAAGGATAGGGGTGTCTCAGTTTACTGAATGAATGAAGGGCTGATTAATCAGAGAAGGTGAAAGGGTTATCACACTAAAAAGGAGAGGACTGTATTTCAGGAGACCAGAGGGAAAAGTGCAGTGGCCAAGTCTTGGTATATGGGTGCCCATTAGAGAAAGTACCTCTTGTGCAGAGTCCACTGGGCACTAGCATTAGCCTTGAAGCAGGGATCTCACCATAGATGCAAGGTGCACAGATACAAGCCTGCATAACAGCTTTGAGAAGACAGCCAGTGGCTGCTGGACCTGCTGTGGTAGTTGTTAGTTCATTCAGTGTTTACTGGATGTCTGCTTTCTACATGGGGAAGACAAAAGACAAAGCCCTGTGCTGGGAAATAATAGACAGGTTGGAGGGGCAGAAGGTGTGATGTGCGTGGGTTTGGAACTCAATGGATGAGGGGGAGAAAATTGGTGCTGTAGCCAGAAAGGTAGCTGAGTTAGACAGTAGTGTCTTGAAGGTTGTGTGGCAGTCATGTCACCACTGGCTTTACTATGTGAAAGTCTCATCATTTCTCTTGGATGGCTTCAGGTAGATAGGAGGGGAAGATCAAGTTACACCGGAAGTTCACTGTCAGATCCCCTCACCTTGCTGTCCTGTGAGAGTTAAACTGCCAAAAAAGGGTGCTAGTGGTTCAGGGGTATATGGGTACCCATTAGAGATTTCCTTTGCCAGCCTTTAGCTTCTCTTCCTTCTGTAATTCTCTTAGCTGGCACCAGCAGAATTGCTGCCTCCAGTCGGCAAGCTGAAAGCAATATGAGATTAAAGGAGAGATCTCCTCAAATGGTGTGTACTATCCTAGATTGATTTTCATTCTTCGGTTACAAAATGTGGTTCTTTCATCTATGAATAGATTAGCATTTCATTACACCAAGACGTTTGCTGAACCCTTTGTATTTGCATGAATGAAGTTCTTGCTGTGTTCTTTGTGATGCTGCTCTGTCATTTTGTTAATGGGTTGATTTTTACCCATAGTAATAAACATTTGTGCAAATAGAATAATAAAAGAGCATGGGGGAAAAGCTGAGGCAGTCTCTTTCCATTTGAAAAAGGGAAAGGAAGCAAAGACTTTTTATTTTGAATGAAATGGCTATTTGGACTATCCCAACTATTGTGACTCAGCTGAATGTAAAGGGAATTTCTGAACATGCTTCCTGTCCTTCCTCTTGCTGTCTTCAGAAGCATAAAAATCACTTCCCCCATTTGTGCATGTGCACAACACATTTGTCCTTGGTGTCCTTTAATCCAGTGTCTGAACAGCTCAGAACTCAAACTCCATACTATATAATCATTTGGTAATATTGGGTAAGCTTTAAGTGCCAGCGAGTAGAGGTAGTAAGCGAGTTTGTTTTGGGCCTGGAGGTGTGACTCTGTGGTGAAGCCTATTGTGTGTGAAGCTCTGTATTCTATCCCTGGAAAAGAAAAAGGAAAGAAACAAAGGAAAGAAGAAGTAATTCTGTTGGGTGAAATTTAATCTGGAAGGGGAAACAAAACACTAGAATGGAGGTCATTATAATCCTAGTAGCATGAAGTGTCTATATATGGGTCCAAGTGCTGAGGCTTTTAAATATTAGTGAACTCTTGAGACCCTCAGAAGAATTCCTTGAGGAAGACATCATTGCTGGCTCCAGCTCACAGATGCAGCCTTGAGAGATTTAGTACCTTTCTAAAGATTTCTCAGCTGGTAAGAAGCAGACTGTGATTTGAATCACCCAGGCACTTAAGTACCAGATCACAAGCCTATAACCCTTGACTTGTGTTTTGGAATGCTGAGCTCTTCAAAGGAAAATAAAACAGCAAAAACAACAACAAAAAATCCCAGAAGTTAACAGAAGAGACTATTACTAGTAATGTTTGAGACAGTGAATATGGGCACAAAGAGAACCAGCAGCAGATGGCAGAGCCTGTGGCAACATCAGCATTTGAGATGGTGCTGAGGAGATATTGTGCTCTTCCTCTTGCTCCCATGGAAGGAGGGAAGATCATGTCTCATCTGTGCCTCAAGTGCCTGGTTCTGAGGGACTTGGGAGGACCAGGTGACAAGGGGCTTCCTGGGGGTGATGCGCACATGTCCTTTTCAGCTGTATCTTCACTGTCTGCTATGGTGACAGTGTAGAGTAAGAACCCTATAAGTACTGTACTGCACAGAGTGCCAATCTGTTGAATGGACTCAGTTGTTTACTGAAAGACTTACAGGATGCTGAGTGTGAGTTCTGGAACCCCAGATTGGAAGCATGTTGATCAGACCACCACAGCTACATCTTAAATATATCTCAGAGCTTCATGATGGAAAGAATTAGATATTTAAGAAGAGGAGACATGGGCTTGGTGGGATAGTCAGGCTTCCTTTAGGTACCCAGTTTTTAGGGGAAGCGAAACTCATTGAGAAAATTCCCTGCTGTCTTCTGCATCTCCAGCCTTTGGCTTCTTTTTTTCTCCTCCAGCAGCTTCCTTTGTCCTGTAACAGAGTTGATCAGCATAGGGATGAGCCAGAAAGATGAGGCTGGGGAGATATGCTCCTTATGTGGCCCTTGCTTACTCACATGAAGTTTTCCTTCTTGATTACACACTAACTTATGTGGCATAGCTATTCTATTTTTCTGTGGATAATCTTGTTCTTCATCATCCCAGGTGTGAGCATCAATTGCAGACATACATGAGGCAGTGCCTATGCTTAGGAAGCTAAATGGTCCCCAATAAGGCAGACATGTAGTGTGGTCTTAGGTGAAGTAGGCCTGGCCATGTATTGTCAGGAGGCAGATTGACATGCCAAGGTAGCAATATGGAGCCAAGGCTTCCATGTCATTGTGCAGAGGTTGACTCCTAGCCATAGCTTTCTCCCTCTTTCTTTGGGACTATAGTGATGATGGTCAGAATTTCTTTTGCAAACTCCATCCTTATTGAAGATCTAGACACCAGAAGAGGTAGATATGTTCTTACCAAGGATTTTGAGGATAAAATACTAGC